ATACAGAGACGTAACAATACTTTGGGAGAGCGGTAAAATAAATTTTGATAATAGAAGATGACCTCATTGATAGAGTTTGCATAATTCATTATTGAAATAAAGTAAAATCTTAATCCCGTCAGGAATCTACAAGGCATCCTGTCCTACCTGCCAAAACAATTGATTCAAAATATGCTTAAACTAACAATGATTGGTCCTCAGCTATAGTGCTAAGAGGAATAGGCAGTACTGCTTGTATATTGATTTCTAATGGGTGAATGGTGTAACGTGAAAAGCTACTCAGCCAATTCCCTTGAAATATGCTTTCTTAAACGTCACCTTTCATCTCCTTTATCATAGTAATTTAAGGAAACATTTCTCATTTGGACCCGAACTTAAAGTTATATCAATTATGTGACAAATGGACTAGCCACCTTTCAGAAACTAACAATATAAAATCCAAAAGGCCGGGCAGAGTCACAGTCCTTGATGTCATTCCAATGTCCTTCGAAATGAAACAGGGAAACATACGTTTAACAAAAATGTATAAGCTGTTGAAAACTAAGAACAGTATTTTTGGTGCGTAATTTAGAAAAAAAAAAGTAGCTTATTTTGGCTATTAGTATTTTTGAAGATACACTGTTTCTGTTAAAATTGTCAAAGCGAAAAACTGGTCAATCTCCTTGCATGACATTGGATTCACTCTCTTTTAATTTTGTTGTTGAATAGGTAAATTAGGTTGTGTTACAATAGCATTAGCTTGAATAGTTTCAGTTCAATGTTAGTCAGATAGATGTATAAATGAAATCAACATAATCATAAATTCCTCCATTGCTGGGATGTATTTGTTCTTTGTGCCAACATCAAGCAGTTTCATGTTAGGTGCAAAGCTACACGATGGGTTATTTGTGCTGTGAGTATCGAAACAGAATTTTTAGCATGATAAGCTTTCAGACGTATCGCTGATCCACCAGGTAGTGGGACATATTAAACTGTGAAACAGTATGATTTACATCTAAATAGAAAGCAGCATTTTAGATCCCTTGTTCCTACAAATCTGAAATAACAGCACGAACTTCCTAATATTAAACTGCAAGTTTTGCTATCATATAGGAATTTTTTTATTATCTCAACATACCACAACATTAATACTTTTCACACTACCTAATCGAAGATCCTTGTCTACACTGTTGCAGAGATACACCGTTGAAAGAAGCTAAATCTTAATATTTGATCAATCTTTGGTTTACGTTTTCTGCAATAATAAAAATTATTTTATACATTAGCATTGTATTCTGAAAAATTCAGAAAAGGTACACTAGCTATTAATGAAATGTATACCAAAATTCCTCGTATGATCTTATACATACTTTAAATATCATAAATGTTCGTAGAATTTCTGATATAGGTTTATTTTGTCATATTACATGTCACATATCAGTCTCGATTTTTTTTTTGTCAAGTTGGTTGTCTGGATTATTCTTGATGACACCAAACTGCTCAAACTGATTGTCCGGATCATTTTATATGGCACTAGTTATTTTGTCCAGGAATTTAAAGACCAAAATATAATATTACCAAAGCATTTAAGATAATTCAGGTTTTCAAGTCCATTCCTTCCAATTTCTTAACCTACCTATTTTTCTAACAGTCTTAAAGAACATTACAAACTGCCACATCTGCACATAGCCATCCCTAATATTCAACCAATAGATCAAAGGGAAAGCAACTAATCAACAGTAACCACCATTAATTCCTTGGAGGATTCAGTAAAGAGATTTGACAAAGCGCAACGGTCATGTTTTCCATCATTGGGTCATGAACCATGATCACGGAGTGTGTACTCTCCAATTTCTATCATTTTAAAGGGTATCACATACTTTTAACTTTTTTAAACACTTCTATAAAAGAAAAGCTATTTTTCGTTTTTCTAATGTGTCAGCCTGAAACATTCTTTGCTTGAGAAGTACATTACAAGATCAATTTACCCTGGCTTTGTATTTCTCAAATTTTGTTTGAAGTTAAGCAACACAATGGGCTATCTGTACTCTAACCACTAATGGGTATAAACCTCAAAATTTAAATTCTGATGTGTTACTTAGATTCTCTCATGTAAACATTACATTTAGTTATTTGTAGTATATCATCCAACTTAAATTGATTACATTTTATAAAAAGTACACAACAATATGAAAAAAAAAATCACCAGACAATTAAACCACAAAATACATGTAGATCATAAGCTTGTGTAGACAAAACAAATACAGAGGTATAACAATTGAAAGACCACAAGATCAAACACTCTTTATTGAAAAATGCATTATTATGACAAATAACAACATAGAGCCAAAGATTACAGAGGGAGATAACACTATTCTACAGCCCCAGAACTGATTTTTATTTGTGAGAAATATATTGACACACAACTCACCCTAAATGACAGACCTTGCATAGTCTTAGTAAACTATACTACAAAACATAAAATAGAAACTAAATATAAATATCAAGACTGTTCAAATAAAAAACGGATTTGTGACTTCAAAATAATCCACTTTTTGCATAGATAATTAACATATTTGTACTTTTGATAGCAATGGATTATGAGATGTGATTTTACTGATCAGTGCAACAGGTACACTTACCTTAGAAACACTTTACTATAAGTTCGTGGAATAGAAAGAAAAAAAACGTGCAATTTAAAAAGCATAGATTTAAAGGCTATTACGTTTTTAACATGTTCACATTTAGCAAAACGAATAAATGATTTTTTTTAATAATGTAAAGTCTTCTAAGAATTTATCTGTTAAAAACTATATATTATAAAAAAAGTCTTCACTTCCATATCATGAAGTCTTTATCTCATGTAATTAATGACATTAACTAAGGGCACTTGTACACATGTTAAAAATAAATATAGCTGCATCTTTAAGAAAAATTAAGAATAGGGTAATTTCTCTACATGATTTTAATGAATACTTAAAGTTAATTACTTAAATATGGTAGAAATTAAATGGTTGAAAGTTGCTTTTAAATCATTCATTTCTCTTTTGGAGTACACAACTCTTACTACTGCAGTAATCTTCTACTTTCTAACATCTTTCAGTTGTTTTAACCCTACGGCTCATACCAATTCATTACCAATTATAGTTCAGTTTACTTAATAAAGAAACGAGGCACGTATTATGCGTTAACATCAAACTAAATAATAATATTCTTTTATCTAAAAAAACACTAAGAAACTTGTGTGTGTAAGTAGCACCAATACAAAAATTTGCTATACTGGTTAGTACTATAACTTTTTTCATTCATCAAACTTTTGTTCAAGAATAAAGATGGCAGTTTATCACTATAAATTCATTTTGATTGAAAGTTGAATATCAAAATACAAAATGTCACATACATTTATTTGAAATCTAGATTTAAAGTAATCAGTTATTTATGGCACATAATTTTTATTTAGTTGGAAAAAACATTGTTTCCAGTTTTTCTTTTTGAAGTATGAGCTATAAAAATAGCAATTCAAAACAAGGTGTTATTCTGGGGAAATAAAAATACACATACAATATTAGTCAACATGATGAAAATTTAATATAATAAAACGTTATTTAATGCAAATCCTAAATGCTTTTCTAGGATTCTGATATGCTTCACACTGATCAGCTTTATAACTACTTAATTATCTCATCCCAAAGAGGGTTCATTATCAACTTGGGAAACCATCTTTGAAAAGAAAAAAAAAAAAATCGTATGAAGCATAAAAATATTTCTGCAAGTTTCAGAAAATCTGAACATAAGATGCATATAAATAGTTTCTCTTGACTTTTAAATATACTTCTAAAATGTAAAATATGAGAAACTTCAACTATTTCCTAGTGAATTTTCAAAAAAAAAAATTTAAAATCCATATCAGAGCACTATTTTTGGTTTTCAAAAATATTTTTATAAACTAAAACATAGTAATTTATCACCCAGTGTGCCTTAGTTATATTTTTAAAATGTACAATAAAAATGAAATACAATTTTCAAAAACCATTCATTTAGTAAGGAATATTTCAAACTCATTAAGCTTATTTTGAAATCAGGTTCAAATTTTAAGAAATGGAAACTGCTCTCAAGTATGAATCATGTAGTTGTTTACTCATGTGAAACAAATTTTTCCTTGGCTAATTTAGTAAAACTGAAATCATTATCCCTTAATGCTTTTCACTCAGCTGCTTTCTTTTACATAAACTTAGTATGACAAAGGAAAAGTCTCACAATTGGGAACAAAAATAAAATAAAAATCTTATTAACTCCCACATACTTTAGGCATTTAAAATCTTTCTCTGTCATAGCCCCTTTATTTGCCCTCTGATCTCCTGTTATTCCTTGTAAATTGAATAGGCAGTATGCAATGCAAGGGCTGGGACATTCTTTATGACTAGCAAAGCTGACCATCACTGTACACAAGTCCTCTGAACAATACACAAATAATTATATTTCTGTATTTTTGTCATGTTTTATGGCTTAGTTTTCTTCCTCAAATGAAACTTCCTGAACCACAGTTGCAGAACTTTCCTCTCTCAGCATGGAAGGAAGTGTAATAATCTCAACCTTCTCCAGACTGGCTTCTTTTAAGTGCTCTTCAAGAGACCCTTTTTCCTGATCAGTAGCTGGCATGGTACTAAAATGAGTTTTCTCTGCTGGTTTAATAGCTCCTATTGGACTATTTTTTTCCGAAGCTGTTTGCTTGGCTGTAGAATCTGTTTTTAAAGTTTTCTTATCTTTTGAAACAGCTTTGGAAGTCTTTCCTTGAGAACTAGGTTTAGAAGGTGAGGTTGTCTTCAGTGTACCAGTTCCTGAAGCTTGTAATGTGTTAGCCTTTTTAGTATTAGATGAACCAGAAGCAGTTTTGGGCCTTTCATTCAATTTGATGTTTGAAATTTGTTGTTTTCCTGAAGCAACAGTAGAAATCTCTTTGTTGATGGACTCTTTGCTTTGTTTAGTTGTACAATGTGATCTCTGTACAGTGGCTAAATTTGGCCTAGCCTTTTTTACTCCTACACTGGTGTTGGTTCCATTCATTGGTGTATTCTTGGTTTGTTCAAGCTTTTCAGTTGTAGAATTAGGAGATCTACAAGTACTCTTTGGATGAGATGCCATAGTAACAGGTCTTCCAGAATTTGGTTGCAATCTTGAAGATGTTATAGAAGGCCTTGTTAGAGACTGAGCTGAGTGTCTGGGAAGTGAAGCAGAATTGTTCAGAGTTGAAGATTTTAATACATCAGATTCTTTGCTTATTACTGGTGGTCTAGACTGAGTTCTACGAGGAAGAGTCATTGATTTCTGGCTTACTGTTTTGGGAGTAGAAACTAGTCCTCCTGATGGCTTATTAGAAGAATTTACTGATGATGATGATTCTCTGTGCTTTTGTGCATTAGTTGGACTGGATTGCTGTGCAGATGAAGGCCTCTGTTTAGGTGGTTGCTGACTTGGCTTGCTGTTCATAGAAACATCTGGTTTAGTAACAGATCTTTTGGTAGATGGAACAGAAACAGAAGTTACAGCTGATTTCTTTACAAGAGGTATATGACCTTGTCTTGGGATTGTACTGGTACTTAATTTTGGCTTGTGTTCTTTGCTAAGAAGCGTTTTTGCAGTACTACCTACTTTTACCAATGTTTTTGCTTTGTCTTGTTGAACATCCTTAATTTTCTCTGGTTTTGATATGGAACTAGGTTTCTTTGTAGTTTCACCGATTGTTAACTGCCTTAACTTTGACTTGTTTTCTTGAGATAATTTGTTAGGCTTTGTGTTAAGTTTAGAAATTGGTTTTGAAGTGGTACCAAGCATATGTGATGCAACCTTTTCTCTTTCTTCATTCCTTTGAAATGAAATTAGCTCTGACTTCTGATCACCTTTAACATATTTCCATCCTCCATCCTTCTCAGAGTCAGAATCAACATCCTCTGTAACTCCTTCAGCTTCTGGCACACTGTCTGGGATGGCTCCAAGCTCAACAACTGCACTACCTGCCCCTATTTCATCTGTTGGAGTGTCTTTGGATAATTCTATTTCATCATATATCTCTGGAGTCATGAAAAACCCTCCTACTGGAAAAGTACATGGTTTGCCCATACCATCTGTTTTATTTTGTGGTTCTACAAGAAAGTTAGAAGCAATTAATTGCTGTGTTGTTAATAGTTCCAATACACTCTTGTCCTCAACTATTTCTGGTGGTGAAATCTTCACAGTTGTATGATTAGTAGTTTGAGGAAACAATAATTCAGTTTCAGATTGACAAGGCCCAATTGGTTCTGTTCTCTGTTTTGCTGAATTTTCAAGTTGACTGCCAACTGGAACAACGTCTATTTTAGACTGTGGAACATATACATGCTGCTTAGCTTCAAGCAGAATGGGTAATGCTTGTTTTGGTTGAAGGTGTGAAGAGTTTTCTGGTTCAGGTTTCTGTGAGGCATACATTGATTGATCTGTTTCTTGTGGTGATGTAGGAGTAAACTCTTCTTTTTCAGATAGTTGCTCAGCACTTGGTTGATGAGTTGGATTAGATTGCTCCATTTCATTTTGTAATGTTGACCCTGGTTGTTCCAATTCTGACATTGAACTTGGGTCTTGATTAAGTGTTTGGTGACATTCTGGTAGAGAATTGGATGATTGTTGCCCTGATTTAGAAGTGAATGTTGGATCCTCTGCACTGAAAAGTATCATACCAGATTGGTCACATTCTTTGCTTTGTGGAGTTTGTTGGGAGGGTTGTTCCAACTCAGATACAGCTTGAAACTGGCCACTGGAAAATTCCATTTTGTTCATATAATTTTGTTCACCTGAATTATCATTCTCAGTGGTAGTGATGGACATTTCTGTCTCTTTCCTTTGAACTTCATCAACAGCTGACTCAATGGCCAAATTCACCACTTCATTTGCTACTTCTTTGACATAGACATGATTATCAGGCATAATAGCATCCACTTCTGGTGACTCTTTAGCTGGTGTTTGCTGGATATTAACTATACCAGGATCTAGAATAAAAGAGGCATCAAATTTTTGAGGTACTTTATTTATTGCCTTTTCTACTTCCTCTGAATACATTCCAAATTGCTCTATATTCATTACTTCATTTATAGGTGGGGTAGGCACTTCACCTAGTTCAGTTCTTTCAGGAATATCACTTGTATCAATACACTGATATATTTCTTCAGGCTCATTAGTATTAATTTTGTCACATATAGATAACTTAGACTGTGATTTTATTTTACATTGATTATTCTGTGATTGGTACTGGTGAACATTTTCCCATAATTCTGAAACATGACCAGACACTGTAGTACCTGAAGAAATAGTGGTACCATTGATGGTACCTACTTCTCCTTGAAGCTGAGGAAACATAATGGGTATTGGTGGCATAGGGCTATTAGCCAAATCTGCTGGATCTCTAAGAAATGCAACAATTGTAGTTATATTATCACTTGAGCCTTTGTCTTTAGCCTGGTGCACTAATTGAGAGGCTAAACTTTCAAGATTATTGGGAGTTTCCTTGACATAATGATAAACAAATTTAATCACATCTGAAGGTGTCATCCTATCCCATAAACCATCACAAGCAAGGACAAGAAAATCCTCTGTACCATCCAAGTTGACAGTGATAACATCAGGTTCACAACTGACACAAGGCTTGTGTTCTGGGTCACCTGAAAGAAAAACAAACATACTTCAAAATAAGTTTACTATGATCAAAATATTTTTTTTTTTTTTTAATTAAAATTAGTTCAGTGCCACAAGATATATTGATCTTTAGGTAAGACAACTGAAAGTTTGCTTATGAATTTACTACAATATATAAACTACAAGTATTAGTATGAATCAAATATCAACTTGAATACAAACTTGTAAATAAATTTTCTTATAGGGTATTCAAGTAAGAAAAATAAAATAACAAGACAATATTACTGTAGTTTGATTAATTATCTACATATTTCTTTTTTACACTACCAACCAGAAATATGGCATATTCACGTATTTTCATATATGGTTGTAATAAAACTGGAAAAACAATTTCTGCATACATGCACCACTTATGAACTTTTTCCAATTTTCTAAATCCGTGCCTCATTTAACTCCAACTAACGAAACACAGAATGAGAAAAAAAAAAAAAAAAAAGGAACTACCTTGAATTAAGCTACAAAATTTTATTTCTATCTTTTATCTGTATAATCTATAAAAAAGTACTATAAAATATTGTATAAAAAGTGTGTTCCTATTGACCATAACTACCAATATCAAAGAACTATTTCTATAAACCAATCTTTAACAAAGTTTTCTAATAGGACTTAACTGGAGACCATTGGTTTTTGAATATTTTTCTAAACTATGTACGCAGTGTGCTGTTACTAGTGGTAAGGCAAATAGGATTTTAGGTTGTATCTATAGAAATACTGAAGTTTACAAAGGTTATAATTTCATTGTATAGGTCACTGGTTAGGCAACACTTGCAGTATTATGTTCAGTCTTGGGCTCCTTACCTTAGGAAAGACATTGAATTGTTAGAAAGAGTTCAGAGGAGGGTTACTACAGTGGTGCATGGGATGGAGAGGTTAAGATCTCTGAAATTGTTTTCTCCTGAAAAAAGAAGAGTTATAGGGGATCTGATTGAAGTGTTTAAGATTGTTAAGGGAATTGATAGTGTTGATGAATCATCTTTTTCATACTTAATGATGAGAATGGTAGGTGGCACGAATATAAATTTTGCCAGGGTAGGAGTCATCTTCAGATAAGACAGTTTGATTTTTCTAACAGGGTGGTTAGCCTTCAGATGTTGTAGTTTTTTTTGTTTTTTTTTGTTGTTGTTGTTGTTGTTGTTTTAATAGTTTTAGTTTAGTGGATCAGACAGCTCAGATGAACCAATAGGTCTCTTGATGTCCCTAAATATTATGTTATGTTATTATATCTATCACATTGAACAAATGTAGCTAAGATGTAAAGATTAGAAATTCATTAGGTTAGATAAGAAAAAATTAAATAAAAAGAATACTCATGACCACTTCTAGATGAACACACAACATAAGCAGTTTGTGCATGATGTAACCCACACTTTTTTTCAGTATGCATTCCACTCTTCTTTTCTTTTTATACTTACCATGAAAATCACAGTAAAATCTTTAGTAAAAACACTTCCATTATGGGCTGGGTGGAATTCACCAGCTCATAACCACGATAGCAATTATACTATGATTTTTGATAATGTATGCACATCTTTACAAGATTTTGCAACTTATTGGCAAAAATTATGAGGTTTTCGTACACAAAATATCAGGTTTTTAAATTAAATATTAAGATTTTTTAATTAAAGATTTTCTCGTAAACTTTTTCTTTCAAAATGTTGACTATCCAACATGCAAAGCAATTTTGATTTTAAGATTAAGAATACTTTAACTCATTAGAACATTTTCAAATTTCACATGCGAAATATTTATCATCTCCAGATATCATAAAATTTTTGTATGGGTTTGATTTGATTTTACAGACTTCGTAACCTCAATACAAAATTAGGAAAAAAATATAAATGTTTTTTTCGTTCCAGAATGACTTCAATTTATAACACAAAAGTTTAGTCTAAATAGCTTAAATCTCATAACATTATACATGTATACACACACATTTATATATGTGCCTGGCTAACAATACACAAGTTACAATAATGTGGCACACATGAATTTGGGTTACTATATCCAATAATATATAACTGCCTTTTAGTCTTTACAAAGTGACCTGTCTTGGCTGTGTTTTAGTGGACTAGTATTTTGTAAAATACAGTCACATTTCAATTATATATATAGAAGTACGTGCATACAAGAGATAGTTTCCAAAAATGGAAAGATGTTTGATTCAGTACATGAGCAATATCTTAGCAAATAGAAAAGATAAGGTTTTTATTTTATATTCTATCTTGTTAATGTTGGTGTAATTTGAGTTCCTAATTTGTATGAAACTGTAGATTTTGTATTTTGACATCACAAACATCTAATTTGAACCAGTGCTACATTCAAAATACCACATGACACACAAAAATCAATGTTTAGCTGGTTTTTTTTTAATATTTACTTTTAAATTAAGAAATTAACTGAAGTATAATGCTAAAATTTTAATTATAATCTACAATTTGATACCAAACTTATTGACATAAATTCATAAAATTTGAATGCAAGTCAACAAACGCAATGACATGGCTTTTGACACTTGGCCTGTTGCAATAGGGTTAAAATATTCGATATTTTTGCACAAGACTTTTAATGTTTGATTACAGCTTGTCAAATTTCATGAAGATATATTTGAGTAGATCCAGTGTGTTTAGTTTCATGGTTACAAGGTTGGTCAAGATGACTATGCCTGTGTATACAGAGATCTAAGAAGCTCTTTGTATTGCACCATTTTTTTTTCTTTGGAACACACTGGTAAATTTTTGTAAAGGTAATAACATAAATACTTTAATGTTCGTATGAGTAGGTATGATTTTACTTATTTTTTAGAATATACTTATTAAAACATGTCTATTTAGGTTATGTTTAAAAAACTTTAAATTTTCTCTTTAGTTCAACTATTGCGGTTTACCACAAAGCACGAGTTAATTATACAGTGTAGCCCTGTTGTAACGCAATCGTTGAGGTCCATAAAATGTCATCGCAAAACAAGCAGGGTCGTGCTAAATCGGGATTCAAGAAAATCACTGTTCAAACTGACCCAATGTTGACTAGTTAATAATAATAATAATAATAAATAGAAATAAAAAAAAATTAAAAAAAAAAAGAATCTTATATTTTCATGGGCAAATTTAAGTAAAAATACTTCATTAAAAAATCTGATTTTGTGTGTGCAAAAGGCTTCTAATGTTTACTCCAAGTCTACAAATTTTTTTTGTAAAGATAAACTTAAAATATTAAAAGTTATTAGTATGTAACTTATAACGAGGTTATGGCGAGCCTGTGTCGAACGAGTTAATGACCCATCGCATTATATCCAAATTTGCGTTAAATAAGGTCGCATTAAATCAGGGTTTCACTGTACTATAATGTAAATACAACCTTTGAGGCTGATTAACCCTTTCGAGACAGGTCATGGGTGAAAGGCCAAGTCATCTCGTTTGTTGACTCAAATTCAAAATTTTATTGAACTACTATTTCATGAATTTATGTCAATAAGTTTGATATTAAACTGTAGATTATAATTCAAATTTTAGTACCATACATTACTCATTTTCTTAAAAGTAAATATTAAAAACAAAGATAAACATTGATTTTTGTGTGTCACGTGGTATGTTGAATGCAGCACTGGTTCAAATTAGATGTTTGTGAAGTCAAAAATACTAAGTCTATAGTTTCATATGAATTAGAAACTCAAA